AGACATGCTCGCACTGTGCTTTACCTGCATCTCAAGACAGGAAGGCTAAGCATTGGAAGTTAAGTGTCAGACTATATCCTTAAGTTTGAGGTACGGTACTCAACTTGATCACTTAAAATGTTTATGTAAGTTAAAATTTGAAGTTGACTTACAAACGCCCAGAAACCTGCACTTCTAAAAGCTTTCTCTAATTATTGTTTGACTACTGCTGTTAAGAATGGGTGGTGCACCAGGAGAACCTGCTCTTTTGCTTCTGAATCTAACAGGTCAAGAAATTGCATTTGTCATTAATATGGAGGAGGAAAACTTACTCAGCATGGTTTATAGTGCTGTGCAGCATTCATTATAATCTGGTTACAAAGCAGTAATGGATTCTGCCATTTTGCATCTTAAGGTTTTTTAATAAAGAAAATGTGTAGATTTGTTGGGTTCTCATGTTAAGTGAAGAGCCTTGGGTGGAAAGAAGTGCTTAAACAGGTGAGATAACAGCTATTAAGAACTACTAAAAAAATCTTATCTAGGGCTCCTGTAGCTATGTCTCACAATATGTTTTAACAGGTTGAGTGCGCTGACACGTTATAATACTATTTGTCCATCTATAGCGGAGTATAAGTAAACATGTTTAATTGTTTTAAACAGTTCCTTCCCTTGCCCAAGTAAAAGAGATTCTTTTTAACTAGTGAAAATCTTCAAATAATTAACTTACTGGGAATACTTAAATAGAATTTTAGGTTGCTTCTTGTGTTTACATTTGAATTTAATCACCAAGCCACCCCCCCCCCCTTTTGAAATAAAAAAATATTTTCACACTCTAAATATACTGGGTTAGCTAATTTGTCCATGGCAAATTGGAAGCTTACTTGAGCAGAATCTTGAACAACTGAGTAGGATTGGGTATTTGATTGATTGGTTACAAAATAGTTGGTCAGCTGTTAGTTAAATATTGTCAAATAATGCAAAAAATGATCAAATGTTTTAAAGCATTAATTTATTAGAACAGTAACAAAAAGCCTTCATGATCTCCACCAGAATATGTACTAACAATTACAAAGATAACTAAAAAAAAAGCTAGATCTGAGAGGTCTAACTTGGAAACTGTAAAACAATTAAATGAAATTCCTAAAAATAATGAATAATTCCATCGTTAGCAATGTTAGGGTACTATTTAAATCTGAAGATAGAACTAAAAAAATAAAATTAAACAGAAATAAAACTCCTAGCAACTATTGAAAAAGTCAAATTTAACTATAGTTACAATGATAGTCAGGCAGCAGTCCAGTTCAAGTATTTTCCTCTGCATTGTATACTCTTCTTGTACTAGGTTCATCAGTTTTGTTTTTGTCTTAACTTTATCATCAAATCATCTGTATCTTTCTTCTCAGTCTCTGAATATTGTGTTGACTCTTCCTATTTTCTTTTCTAGTTGTAAATTGTGATACAATGTCACCTGCTTTGCAGAAGTGGAGGTTTTCAGTCTAGTTCTGATTTGTAAATGGGTGTTTCTCCCAAACTGATCAGTTTTGTTCCACACAAGTAGTATTATGGGGAATTGCTGAAAGAATTTCTGCTACTGTAGCTGGCAGGATGAACACTTTCCACAGTGGTGAAGCAGCAAGCATTCTTTAGGTGTGCAGTTATAAGTATAGGATATGTAAATGCAATTTGCCTATAGTCTCTCAAATGTTTCTTCATGTTTGGGATTTTGTTCTTTGCACAAGAAAATACAGAACTGTCGTTTTCCATATACTGAATATAGTGAGTTTCAGGTTAAGGTGAACTAAAGAGCACGACAAGACTTACTGAGAGTGGATCTAGTGTTTGTGTCACACTAAAATTAGGCTGAAATGTGGTTGCTGGCACTTTTTTTTTAACATCACAATAGTATTTTGACAGGCAGATTCAAGAGCTGTCAAATCTTCAGCATCATGAAGAGCTATGTTGTATGGGCAGCATATACCTAATGTAGAAACTGTGGGTATGCATTTATCAACAAATCCCAAGCAGCTTTTATATTAACTTTATCAGTTGCAACTGAAATGGCCTGTGGACCCTGTTCAGTGGTTATGCTGTTGACCATTTCAAAAGCATGTTGGTCTGTGTGTGCTCGGCTGTGCACTAGAATGAGTAAAACACTGGTTTTGGAGTTGTTACCATGAAGTGGATGACTCCAACTATCCCATACTAGAGTGGTGGTTCTCAACCTTTTTAGGCTCGTGCCACCCCTGGATAGACTTGTGGCACCCCTTAGTGCTGGCTCTTAGTTTCACTTTTTTTGACTAGAGAAAAATATAGAGCCCAAAGAACCCAGAAAGACCACAAGTTTGGAATTCTATTTAACATCTCTGGGTTTATTTTGTGAATTAAGTTAGTAAATAGTTTCATAGTTGGTAGGGTCGGAAGGAACCTGAGCAGATCATCAAGTCTGACCCCCTGCCAAGGCAGGAGAAGGTATTGCGGTCAAACGACGTCAGCGAGGTGTTCGTCTAGCCTCTTCTTAAAGACCTCCAAGGTAGGAGCCAGCACCACTAACATCTAACATTGTGGCACCCCTGAAAGGATCTCAGGATACCTCAGGATAGTTGAGAATCACTATACTGGAGACAGGAGGAGATTGTATGATTAGAATATCGGTGGTGGGGGGAGGGGGTGGTTCCCCACCTGCTGCTTCAAGCATTCAGAAGACTTACTGCAAACTGTTTTCTACTTGGAATATACTAAATTGGCTGCAGTGTATACAGTTCTAGCTTATGAAGATTTTTCAAAACTATGAAATGGGTGTATTGTGGGAATAACTATAGCTGTCAAACATATAGTCAGATTCACTTTTTTACTGGTAGTCAGACGTGCAATCCAAAAACCTCTTAATACCAATTTGATGAACATCTGAAGACACTTCAGGAGCAGGAAGCTTTGCTAAATTCCATGGAGTAGTTAAAAATTTATTAGATAAAGAAACGCAACTAGCTTCCATTCATTCTCACTTATAATTTCTTCAAAGTTTGCCTGTGATACTGGTAAATTTTAAGTAGAATATAAAGGGTAAAAAACTTGGTGTAAATCAGTTTTCCCTTGCTGTTTGACTGCAGTAATCTTTGATAGCAACTGAGTACATATCCACATGTGTAATGTACTGAAAAAGTACTTATGCTTGGCTTTAACAATTTTTCCATGTTTATGTATACTTAAGAAAACTCAGATTCATACAAATGCTTCTGATTGCTGGAATGGGGGTGTAACTCATATTTCAGTCAACCAGTAGCCATACAGTTTTGTTTCAGACTGCTACTATTGTAGCCAAGCAAATGGCCCATCTTTCAGTTGCATTGTTTTTTTTTCTTCCAGGACCTTTACAGACTCCCAGATAACAGTTTGTGGGGAGAAAAAAGGGGTGGCATTATGGATTCATGGGAGTGATTTTTTTTTTTTTTTTTTTTT